TTCATCCTTACAAAGTGGCAGCGAGAGGAGGGAATAAGTAAGAAAGTCCAAAACATGAGAGAAAGTAGCCTCCAGGACAGGTCTTCAGTGTACATTTCTTCTTGAATAGGGTGCAGAATTCAGATGTCTAAGTGGCACTATCACTCTCCCCATAACCAAACCTTTGAGAGGGAGCAATGTCAAATATGAATTTAAGGATATAGGTTCCCTATAGGTTCCCTTAACTACAGTGTGTAACACAAGTTTTCTTATCTTGGTGAATTAAAAAAATTAGTATTTTCATAAGACCTTAAAAAAATTATAAAGGAAGAAATTTTTGTTTTGCGACGTAAATTTACAGTGTTTTTACAATGAAACTGAATATTGGAATCAGGATGGATGATCAAGCAATGTTAATATAGTAAAATAAACTTTAAAATTTAAGAATTTAATACTCCTGGGATTATTTCTAAAACAGTCCTTCCTATTAGCACAGAGAGATAATGGTATTGTAATTGGTTTCTTTTAATACACACATTTGAAGTTAGCAGCCCATTTTGCATTATCTTGTCTTCTCCCATTACAACCAGATGTGCAGCTTTCCTAAAACAGTGCTCAGGGGATTCTCAGCAAAAGCCTTGAGCTTGGTTCCCAGCAGGTGCTGATCTCAACACCTTGTTCTAAGGAGGAGTAATTGTATAAGAAAAAAAAAAAAGAGGTGTTTTGGAGTACCAACACCATTTCAATTAAGTATCCAATGGGGAGGTCTGTGGTGGCAGGAAGAGAACATTAAAGAACTGCTGCCATCACTCCTTGCAGTCAGCAAACTTGCAACACTTTTCCAGGTCTCTGATTCTAGTGATGTCATGTAACAAGCAGAAACCCATCTTGATGTCCTATGGACCTGGTTTTAGGTGAGCTTGTCTTCTTCCCAGAAGAGAACTTATTTTCCTTTCAGAGTTCTTGCTGTGTATTTGACCCAAATGATTCTACAGCTTATGCTGTTTAAAAACTGAAGCACAATCCAAAACCCCTAACCCTGAAACTGAATAAATCTGGAAAACTGAGATGGGTGTATAGATTTCCTCTCAAAAATACATTTAATATATGAGTAATATTTATACAGATTGGGGAAATGCCATGTGCCTATGATGCCTTTTTCTTGGACCTAAAATTAAGAGCCAGGCATGGTTAAGGGATAAAGGGGGTTTTTTTTGGTAGCTAATAAGGATCATTATGGTGCAACATTTCTCCAAGGTGGAATGTGCTGAAATGCACATTCATGGTAGATCCCATATGCAATTTTATAGACCTTGCAAATCAGCATATCTGACAAGGTTGCCCCAATGAGAGGCTTGAATGAATAGCATGATATATCTTCCTATCCTGAAGTATTCCCTCCTAGATGGGCTCAATTTTATTTTACAGGATGTATTCTAGAGGGAGCTTGGTTTCTCAAAGCTTAGGGCTTTCTGGCCTCCAGTTGTGAGGCACTTAGGATGTTTGGTCTCCTGGTCTAACAGAATACCAGGACTATCCTAAGTTATCAGACTTAAGGAATTACAAGTATATATACTAAGGACACTGAGAATACATAAAAGGTATGTACATACATAAAAGGCAAAAAATTGTCATGGCATCATCTACTGAAACTTTACAAAATTATAAAAATATTTAACAACATTTCAAGATTTTTCTTAATTTTAACACTTATTTTTCAGGGTGTAATGTAGATTTCCATTGTATTTTTTTTCCTTTCTTTTTTTTTTTTTTTCTTTTCCTAGTATGGGTTATATAGATTGGAGGTCTGTTGTGGCTGTAAAATTAGTCTACTTGCTGTGTTAGCCTTTAATACTGTATTCCCACCTACAACTGCAGTAACACAGCTTGAAGGGAATTTAATTAGGAAAATGAGGCAGATGAAATAGGCAATGTGATGTATATCTGCAATATGAAGAAGAGTAAATACACTTTTCATCTGGATAGTCAGAATACAAGCTGTGTTAAACTGGGCTGAAATTTAATCAGAAATGGATTTCTTTCATTTTCTAGCATTACTGTGTAATTGTCCTCCTTATTACTGGGGATTAGAAAGGCTACCATCATTAAAGAGGAAACATCTTTAGCCAGTTATGTATGGTTTGTAGTTTGCCTGGCACTGACCTCCTCTTTATGTGAAAAATGGAAATCCCTGGAGGAGCAGACTTAGCTTGGTCATTCCAATCTGGGAACTGGGGATCCTTGTGCACACGGTGTTTGCATCTCATGTTCTGTGTGCACACGCCTGTGCTCTGTTGATTCCTGCTGGTTTACGGACCAAGCAATAAATGGTAGAGTTCAGATGACTGAGAACTTGCTCTGCCAGTAGCAGTTTTCTGCCTGGCAGCACTCTGGAATATTCCAGCCTTGCTGTAGTGTGTTGCTGCACAGTTGTGGATATTTCACTTGTACCCATTACTTATTTCCCTAATGCATTTTTTAGCATTTGTGTTGGTTCTGAGCACAGATGATTATACTGTGCAGAAAAACACAGAGGATCGCTAGGGCAGAAGGCAGCTGAAGTAATATATACTAGATCATGAATAATTGTTTAAGAAAAGTCTTCCACAATCCCTTTGCAGAATTGGAGAGAATAGCACTGGGAAGTCTGAAATATTACACAGCACAACCAGAACAACTGACACATTAGTTTGAAAAACATTTACTTTGTCTGAATCAAGAGATAGAAATACATGATTCAGATATATTTTTTGCATAGTAAACAAATAGAAAAGGTTTTAATACATGCTTTAATTTTATCTATGAGATTTTTAAATGTTCTAATAATTCTGGATCAACCCACTTGGGCTATAATGAGATTCTTCAAAATATTGCAGAGGGAGGTATGAGATTAGTGCTTTTACTTTACTGATTTTTCTAGGTCTTTTTTAAAACAAGACAGGTAATGAGGTAAGTAACTATCATGTGGTAGATGCATGATAAAAACCCAGTGCAGGCAACCTAATGTCACCAAGCTTATTTTGCTACTCTTTGGTACTTTTTGCTTATGGCAGCAATCAGCCAGAGGACTTTCACAGCTGATTAGCAAATCTCAGGTTCTCTCCCTCCTTAAGTCAAATTTCAGATCATCATATTTCACATTTAGCATCTGTGATTTTGAAGCCTTGGTTTTTTGCTTAAGTCTGTCCCATGCCTCTGGACAGTACCTTTATTTATCAGTGTTCTGGAAGAGAGAAGGAGAAATTATCGGTAGTGCTTTGATTTCAGTCCTTAGCATTGCCAGGTGCAAGGGCAGGTGGTACATTTGATTTTCCAGCTTCTGGAGACACCAGTTTATCATTTCATCCCTGGTGGTTATTCCTGGCTATGGAATGTGTTTCTCTCCTTTGTCAGAAGCATTTCCTTCATTACAAAGAGAACCATGTCTCTTTATTGAATTGTGTAAAAACATTCTTGCATGTTTTAATCAGAATGAAAAACCCCCACGGGGGGTTGCTGATGGACTGCTTAAGAGAAATGAGGGAGATTGATTGAAGTTCCTAATAGTTATTTTTTTTAAGCATCAGCACAAGATAGCAGGTGTTTTCCCTGCTAAGCAATTCTAGTAGCTAAAGAGACTTGATTTTTGTATGTTGTCAACTTTCAAGTTTAATATATGCTAAGGGACACATCTCAGACACTTAATCTTCTTTTGACTTTATGTGGAAAGGAATATAGAACCTTTTCAAATCTTTGAAACAGGCATAGTTAAAACCTCCACTCTTCCATGGTCTGTTCAAGCATTTCCTTTCATCTGTGATTTTCAAAAATAAAACAAGACATGGTGCCTGCTTAGAAAATGCTTATCACATGGAAATGCAGTAATCTGATTTGTTACTGTATCTTTTACTAATGTGTTTCTCTCATGTAAACCCTGACTAGATGCATCTGCTGCCCTTAATTTAAGTTCTTCTGTGGAATCAGACCACTATGAAGCCAGAAGAAGAACAAGTATTTCTCAAAGACATTTTCAAAGTGTGTGCACTAAGAGGAGGTTGTTGTGTGTACTTTTTTTTATAGGAGAAGGTACAAGTGGGATGATAAATTAGAATAAATCTCTTAGATTAAGAACCAAGTTTAGGTCTTACTGAAAGCAGTAATTTTGCAAGAAAAAAACTGCAACAAAAGACCCTGCATGACTGTAGCAGTAGATTTCCCCATCTCAGCCAATATATAAAACTGAATTTCCTGATTAGTCACTTGGTTCAAGCTGGGTAATGTGAATATAATGCTTCCGATGTGTCTGAAGTATTGTCACATGAAATTTGTCATTTCTTCATATTTTACCCTGCAGTACCTTGGATATTTCTGATTGAATTAAATGCTTTAAATACTCTAGGGCTTAAAGAGCTAAAATAGACACAGTTGGGACTGTGCTGTAGCTATTTAAGAGGGATTTTCATTCTTGTCACGAAGAGAGAAAATTTTAGTGAATGAAAGTGGAATTCTTTGACTAAGAAAAAATGTGGCATTGATTGTGTTCACATTCCCGTTGCTCAAGCTAGAAAGTGTGGATGGAAAATGGCTAAATAAACTTTCTTCAATTTGCCAGTATTTCTTCAGTTGAGGTATTTAATGGAGAGATTAAGAAAATGTGGTTTATTTCGTAAGTCCTGTGTGCACTGATTTGCATTGTGTCAGAAAGAATGTGAAATCCTATTTGTGCTCTTCGAAGAACATGTTTACAAAGCAGTACAAATGAAAATGGGAAGGAGAAATTGCATTCTCTAGAATTTTGTAGCCCTGCCAAGACTGTGAGGTTTAAGAAATGATATACAAATTTTTTGCTTTGGAAAGAAGTCTTTTCCACCACTCCTTCAAAGATGTGATCATTTTAGGGAAGATGTAACAATCATTCCAAGACACCCAATGAGCCCAGGATGAGCTATCTGTTAGAAGCTGCACAGGCAGTTTGACTGTTGTATTCCTGTTTGGAAAGGCAGAATCAGTCCCTTAATTATCTTCACTATTGTCTCTTTCAGACCCTGAGGACTGGGGCTGATCATGCTGAGATTTGGGCAGCACCTCATCAAGCCCTCCGTGGTGTTCCTGAGGACGGAGCTGTGCTTTGCCCTGGTGAACCGCAGGCCGGTGGTGCCAGGACGTATCCTTTCCACAGCCGATCCTGGGAAAAGCAGGACACGCTCAGGGAGCTTGGAAGGCCAGGTAGGATGGAATACAGGTTTATTCCAAAAACCAGGCAGTGATGCTTGATCAGAAGATGCTTGATCAGTGTTGCAGAACTGCCGAAAACAGTTGCTTAGCAACTGTGACCTTCGAGGTGAATTTCTATTGACCTTTTCACCACAGAAGATGTATAAACAACCAGGTGCTACTAAAAGCATTTTAAAGTCTATCAGAGGTGGTACTGCTTAAATTCCATATTACACTGAATAACACATCCTGCTTCCCTTTTAATAATGTCACTTATTTTTAGATGTGGTAACTTTATGGAGGATTTTCAACTTTTCCTGGCTAAATGTACACCATTTGTCAAATGCCAGTAGAATCCTGTATGAAGACTTTGAAGACTTTTTTTCGGGGGGGACAGATTGCTTTGATTAATTTAGGTGGGAAAGGATTAAATAAACCATCTGTATAGTGCACACATTTCATGATGAAAATATGAAGCCTCATGGTGTAAGTAAAATTCTTGAGTTAGAAACTATTGTAACTTGATTGCACAAGATGCTCAGTGCACCTATTTAATGTATTTTGTAGTGTAGTGTGTTATTTTCTAGTCAAAATTCTGCTGTTCTGTAGCTTGTGCTGATTTCAGTAGCTGAAAGTGTAATTTTTCAGAAGTAATCAAGACAGATCACTTTTTCCATAGAGATTCATGATAAAATTTTAGTAGGAGCTCAGTTAGGCAATGAATGGCTGTGTTTGGGAAAAAAAGGAAGTTGTCTGCAGTTTATTGAAAGTTTTCTTGTTAGTTTTGTAGTTTTATGTTGTTTCTTTCATAATTTAGAATCAAATGAATTTTAGTATATATTTTTAAACCCCAAAATATATTTTTTTCTGAAATATGGAACCTTCCTTTCCTCCCATCACTTCTGGAGATTATAATTGTTCAATATTGAACTTTTCACTCCATCTGTTTTGAATGGTGTTTGTGTGTATCAGAAGTCAGATCATGGCAAAGTTGCACAGACTTCATAGAAACTTTAAGGGTGTTACTGTCTCACCAATGTATTTTACTGAATCAAATTATCAGTTTTTCTGATCTTTGAGTTTCTGAAATTCCTGATGTAAATCCAAGATGATTTACAGATTTGTCACAACAAGAACCATTTTCAAGTCTATATAAAGACAGTGTCACATTGGTCACTGTGCGATGCATGGCCCATAGGTGCCTGAGCAGTTGCTGTATGCATTGTGTGGATCAGAGAGTAAATAACCTGTTATCTGTTCTGTGAGTGCAGGTTTTAAAAACAATAATTGGCTATTTTTTAAAATTAATCAGTTAAGTGAGCAATTGCATCTGTTGTTAAAAATAGAGTATTTCAGATGAAGCATTCTTGTTTTAAAGTTTTGTGTTCACCTAGTAATGACAAGTTAAGGAGCCTATAAAACTTAATTATAACAAGCTTCTTTCCTTCTTAAATAATTAAAGATTATAAACTCTTGTTGTATAATTATTGCTGACTTTTGGCAGATACATTTATTTGCTCAGGGTTTAGCTTTGTTATCCCATAATGAGTATTGCAGTGTATTTTATAGTGTCACATTGTTTTAATAGCTTGTGTTGTAATATATAATGTAGTCTTTGTTTCTCCATTGAATAAATGTTCAGGTTATAGAAGCCCAACCCTTTTCCTTTCTCATTACAATAAGAAGAAATTAGGAGAGATCTTGATATAAAGGCTAGAATACAGTATGTAAAATAGAGCAATTTGCAGTTGTAAGCCTTTTAAAGTGTCTGTATAATGCAGCATTCATCTTGAGACCTGGCAGTAGCAAGTGTATTTTCTTTGTTTTATTGCAATAATTTTATCTGCCTTGTCTTTGGCACATGTGTGACATTTTTTTTTCAGTAGAAAATAAAATATTAATGTATGTGAATTAGAGAGACAAAGGAAATCAGTATGAAAGCCAGATCACTCCAGGTGGTGGCTTTAATTACCTAGTAAGGTTGAAATTCCATCTTGAAACAGAACATAGGGATGGAATTATGAATTTGCAGTAATAGTTTAAAAAAAAAATTATACTCTGGGAAAAAGTCTGTCACAATGGCCTTGTGGAGTTCAGTGTGACTTGAACAATGCCAAAGAAGGCTTGTTCAGTTAACACACTGCTAAGTTTTGTATTGTTTATTTCGAGCTGCCAATCCTGTGAATTTAGCTTGACATTTGAAAGGCAAATTGTGCTAATAGTCCAAAAATAGGCAGAGTGAAAATATAGTATTTATGGTAAGGAAAGAATTCTCCTGTCCCTGGACTGAGCTGCCTCATTTTTCCCAGCATTAGACTTCTGTGCAATGGGTGCACTGACTCAGGAACCTGTTTGTATTGGGATCCCTTTGAGTGATTACTGCAGATTCTTGGATAGGAAGGTGCTGGGTTCTTATTATTGAGTAAGGGATATCTGGCATGAAACTGGAATCTGTAGTGTGCAAGCTACAACGGGCACTCCTGTGTGACAGTAGGAAACATTGACCTCTTCTGGCACAATGGGACAGAGGAGAGCTGCAGGTGGTCGGGATCAGTGCCAGCTCCCCTCAGGAGATCCAGTCCCTTTGGTGTCACCCAGCAAAGCCTCAGAGGTGTCAGACCACGGGCTGTCTGAATACATTGGCACTTAACAGCTGTAATAATAAGGGGTCTTTACCTGCTCTGCTCTTGCCATCTCCTTGTCTGACATCAGAGCAGAAGGCATATGGCATTGGGGATGGTGTTGATTAGTGAGATACTGGGTTTCGGGGTGTGCTGTTACGATGACTTTCTGGCACTGTTGCAGGGCCAAGAGTCTGGGTGGGAACACGAATGCTGTACTCAGTGCACATCTGGGCTGTAAGCTTGGGAGTGGGGAGGAGGTAGCTGGGTGTTCTGGAAGCTTGCTGGGATACCCTCATACAGGTACCCATTCCCTATTTCACAAGAGTCCTTGTTTCCTCTCAGTTCTGTCAGCTTGCTGCTTTGCAGAGAGTGATTGTGAAAAGCAGTCATTTGTGGCTCCCTTGAACAGCTCTGTGGTTGTTTTGGAGGAGGCAGCTATTCAATAGCTGGAGCAGTGCAGGGATGTGTCTGTAGCCAGCAAATGCATTGTTTCTGTCACACAAAAGGCACAAGATGAACTGAATCAGCTCATGCAAACAGCATGAGCTCAGCTTCTCCTTGGCTTCTTGCTTGAATTACTTCTTCAGAGCCTTGCTGCTTCCATGGTTCCATAGAGCAGAGCTGTGGTGCTGTTTGAAACAAATTCCATCTGCTCTTCAACATGGACTTCCTTTGCTTTAATATGGTAACAAATACCTTGTGAATGACCTACCATTTTATTGATGTTTCCCTAGCCCTGCACCAGAGCTTTACATGGTCTCGCTCACATCTTCAATAAATATGAACTGGTTTTTATCACTGCCTTTCTCATGGTGTTGTGCAGGGTACTTGTTTTCATCTTGTGTTAAATATGAAAAATGAATTTCAGCATTAGCAGAATCCATTTGGGGACCAGGACTTTTTATTATAAATAAAATTATACATTAGTTATGTCCAATTTTTTTTTCAGTAGACAAGGTATTGATCTTTAGATTTGTGTTCAGGATGCCATATGAAGAACTTGCACAAAAGGAACACAGCAACATTTGTAAATTGATTGAATGCAATATATAATGACAGAGACAAACAGCAGATCTATGGCAATACTATATTATACAAAGCATTTTTCAGCAGTTTATTGAATTGGTTATTAAAAGGAACAGTCTTTCCAGCTGGGAACAGCAAGCTGAGGGTTATTGGGACCAAGTAATTTCATGGAAATTTGTGGTGGATACTTTGGCTCCCTTACTTAGGGCACATGTATGTGTGTAATAAATTAGAATAAATACTTTACAACAACTTTTCATGTGGGATTGATTATGAAAAGGTTTTTCCATTTAAAAAGACGAACAAAAGGGAAACAAAAAAAGAAGACTGTTTAACTGTTATATACTGAATTTTGCTGGACTATTTTGTATTGCTCTTTTCATAGATATCTAAGTTTTCTCACCAGAAAGTATTCTGATTGTAGGGAATAGACCATGTCTAAAACCTCAAAGCATATTATATATTCTGGCACCTTCATCATTACGTGGAGTTAATGGTCATTATTTGTTGCCGAGGCCATGTGCTGTTCCATGAGTTACTGCTGCTTGTTCCTGTTATTAATGAGCAGAGAAAACATTAGTTGAGCCAGATGCTCCCTTCAAAGGCTTGCTAACACCCCGAGCTGCAGTGTAATTGTTGTGGGTCTGCTGCAGGGGTGGGACAGGATCCAGGGTCAGGCAATGTGAGAAAAGCATCTGCTCTGCTGCAGAGTTTGTCTGGCTGGGAGCTCCCTGTCATCTGCTGTCACAATGGCTGCATTGCTTGAGACTGATGTATGCTGTAGTGCCACAAGTATTTTCCTAATGCTTTCCTTAAAAGTTTTGCAGTTTTAAAAAAAGCCAATTCTTTAGAATTAGTATTGTTACTTAATATAATTTCAAAGTAATTTTTCATTTAGTTACAGACCTGACAGTTTCCACTGAAGACAGCGCACTGGAAAGAACAGTAGTATTCTCTCACAAGTTTGGTTGAAAACCATGGTATTTATCTTGTACATGAAATTTTAATTCTTCATAAACTTACAGAACTGCTGCTATGATTTTATTTGTACATTGCACCTTTATCATATCTATATTTATGTTCCATAAGTATGAGTTTTATGGGTTTCAGCCTAAGTAAGTGTTAATATTTACCATAAAACTAAGATTAGGAAAATGAAATTCAGTTATATTGCAGATTATATGTTTATATCTGCATACTGCAATAATGTACACTGCATGTTTGCAACAACTTGTTAGACATATCTAATCTGGTGTGAAAGTACTCTTTTATTTAGTGCTCATTACAGAAGCTTCCTATA